CCCCACGGTGTCCCTGCCGTGTCCTCCTGCTGTCCCTTCCTTGTCCTCGTGTCCCCTCTGTCCTCCCCATGTCCCCGCTGTGTCCCTCTGTCCTGCCTGTATCCTCATGGTGTCCCCGCATCCCCCAATATCCCCCACTGTGTCCCTGCCATGTCCTCCCCGTTCCTGCTGTGTCCCCATGGTGTCCCCAGGTCCCCACGGTGTTCCCTGCGTCTTCCCCATGTCCCCGCTGTGTCCCCATGTCCTGCCTGTGTCCCCACGGTGTCCCCGCATCCCCCTGATATCCCCGCTGTGTCCCCATGGTGTTCCTGCCATGTCCTCCCCTTGTTCCTGCCGTGTCCCCACGGTGTCCCTGCGTCCCCACGGTGTCCCCATGTCCTCCCCATGTCCCCGTGTCCTATGTCCCCACGGTGTCCCCGCGCCCGCAGCGTGGAGCCCACGGAGGCCGGCGACTACCGGCTCTGCTTCGACAACTCCTTCAGCGCCGTCTCCGAGAAACTCGTGTTCTTCGAGCTGCTCCTGGACGGAGCCCACGGGGACGAGGACGGGGACGGGGACGCCTGGCTGGAGTCTGCTGTGTCCCCCACGGTGTCCCCCGTGTCCTCCCCATGTCCCCGTGTCCTATGTCCCCACGGTGTCCCCGCGCCCGCAGCGTGGAGCCCACGGAGGCCGGCGACTACCGGCTCTGCTTCGACAACTCCTTCAGCGCCGTCTCCGAGAAACTCGTGTTCTTCGAGCTGCTCCTGGACGGAGCCCACGGGGACGAGGACGGGGACGGGGACGCCTGGCTGGAGGCGGCCGAGCCCGAGGACGCGCTGGACGTCAAGATCCAGGACATCAAGGTGGGGGGTGATCCCGACGGGAGCGGGGAATGAGCCCGACCTAGGGGGAATAATGATCCCAATGGGAACGGGGAATGATCCTGGTGAGAGGGGGATGAGCCCAACTGGAGCAGGGAATGAGCCCGACCTAGGGGGAATGGTCCCAATGGGAACGGGGAATGATCCTGGTGAGAGGGGGATGATCCCAACTGGAAGGGGGAATGAGCCCGACCCGGGGGGAATGATCCTGGTGAGAGGGGGATGATCCCGACTGGAGCAGGGAATGAGCCCAACCTGGGGGGGAATGATCCCGGTCAGAGGGGGATGATCCCGACTGGAGCAGGGAATGAGCTCGACCCGGGGGGAATGATCCTGGTGAGAGAGGGATGATCCCAAGGGGAGGGGGCAATGATCCCAGGGAGAGGGGGATGATCCCAATCGGAGCGGGGAATGATCCCGACTGGAGCAGGGAATGAGCTCGACCCGGGGGGAATGATCCTGGTGAGAGAGGGATGATCCCGACTGGAGCAGGGAATGAGCCCGACCCAGGGTGGGGAATGATCCTGATCAGAGGGGGATGATCCCGACCTGGAGGAGGAGGAATGATCCTGGCAAGAGAGGGATGATCCCGACGGGAGGGGGCAATGATCCCAGCGAGAGGGATCCCAGGGAGAGGGGGAATGATCCCAATCGGAGCAGGGAATGATCCTGGCAAGAGAGAGATGATCCCGACTTGGGAAGGGGGAATGATCCTAGTGAGGGGAGGATGATCCTGGCCTGGGGTGGGGGGAATGATCCCGGTGAGTGGGGGGATGATCCCGGCAAGAAGGAGCGATGATCCTAGCTGGGGGGAAGGATGATCCTGGGAGGGATGATGATCCCGGCAGAGGGGAACAACCTCGGTAAGAAAGAGGGATGATCCCGGCAGAGGGGGACAATCCAGGCAGGAAAGGGGGTGATCCCGGCCTGGAGAGGGGAGGCCGACGATCCCGTCCGGGGGCCTCCCGCGTTCCCGCAGGAATCCATCGAGACCATGCGGAGCCGGCTGGAGCGGAGCATCCAGATGCAGGCGCTGCTGCGGGCGTTCGAGGCGCGCGACCGCAAGCTCCAGGAGAGCAACCGGGGCCGCGTGGACTTCTGGTCGGCCGTGAACCTGGGAGCGCTGCTCCTCGTGGCGCTGCTCCAGGTCTACACCCTGCGGAGCCTCTTCCAGGAGCCGCGGCGCCTGCGGACGTGAGGGGGGCGCCGGAGCCGCCTTCCCGCCGGGATCGGGCCGCGCTCTTCCCGCCGCTCTGGATGCGGGAGGGAGGAGGCGCCGCTTCCATCCCTGCTGGGGCCTTGGGATGCTCCCTGGGGAATATCCGCCACTTTCTCCACCATTCCCACCCTTGGGATGTGCCGCTGCGATCCCTGCTCCGAATATTCCTTAAACGGTACCAAATCCACCCCATGGAGAAGGATCCGGTGTCCCGGCTCTGCTTCCCTCTCCGGGGACACGATCCCGCGCTCCAGCTTGGAGCATCTGCTCTGGAGCTCCCTCCTTCCCCGTTCCTGGGGAAAAGGCAGCGTGAGAGTGTTCCCCATCCCGATCCCACCACCGGAGCCGACAGAAACACCAGGAAGCGCCGTCACCTTCCACCAGGAGAGTTTTTCCCTTTATTTTTTTTTCCTTTTTAGTTTATTAATAGGATACAGACCGGAGGCACTTACACGTTGGCAAAACCGAGGGAAGGGGCTGGGGCTGCTCTTACTTCATCCACGGGACACGGAGGCGGCGGGAGAGGCCGTCCCCTTCCCAGCGGATCCGTCCGTCCGGATGGGGAATCTCCCTCCATCCCGGAGCGGATCCCTACGGAAAAGCCTCCGGGAAAGGGAGCAGAGTTAAGGCAGGCCGGTCCGCAGCCCCCTCCCCGGCCCGGGGCTGCGGTCGATGTTCTTTGAAACCTACTTTTATTTTTATCTTTTTTTTGTCTTTTTTTTTTTGCTTTTCTCCTTTTTTCTATACAATTATCACAAGTCTTTAAAAATATTTACAGCGTCTGCTGCCCGCGGGAGCCGGGAGGCTCCGCCGGGAAGGCCGGGCCGGCACCGGGATACCTGAGGTGGGCGCGGGGCAGGGAGGCTCCGGCGCGCCGCGGATTAGAGGGATTAGCGGATCGCGAGCTGCGTTCCCCTCCTTTTCCGGGGATAAATCTGTGGGATTTTTGTTTTGTTTTTTCCCTCAAAGCTATAAAAAGTGAAAGATTATGGTCAGATTAGCATCGATTGGGGGAGAGGGGGCGGAAACCAAAAATCACTATTTTTATATAGAATATATTAATACAAAAATTCTGGGGAGGAGGAAGAGGAAGGAAGGGGGCTCTGAGGCTGCTCCTTGCGGGATGGGGACAAGGGGGGGACAAAGTGCAATGTTCAACCCCCCCTCCCCAAACAAATCCATGATCCTGCAGGGTCCATCCGGCGCCGGCGGCTCCTTGGGAAAGGGGAGCGGAGAGGCGGCGGATCCCGCCCTCCTTCCCCGCCATCCCGAGCGGCACCGGGATTAATCCAGCAGGGAGGGCTCGGCCGGGCGGATGATCGTGGGTCGGGTCGGTGCCGCGGGGGGTCTCCGGCTGCGGAGAGAAGGGAGCGTGAGCGGGAACGGACGGACGGTCCCTCCCGGAGCCGGGATGGTGCCGCCCCACCGAGTCCCGCTGTTCCGCTCCCGAAAACGGGAGCGAATCCCATGGGATCCCCAGCGGCGCTCCCAAGCTCTGGAATGCCAGAACCTTCCAGACAGCTCCAGCAAGGACTAATGTGTCCATAGGGGAGTCAGGGCTGGAGATCTCCAGCAGGGCGGGAAGAGGGAGCTGCTCCGGAAAGCCAGAGGGATCTGGCTGCAGCAGGAGCCATCCCAGAGGGTGCTGCAACGCGGCCGTTATCCCGGGACACCCGGGGCTTCCCGGGAAGCTCCCGCGCCGCGTCTCTCACCTGGG